GGCAGGGGGGTTGGACTAGATGACCCACAGAGGTCCCTTCCAACCCCTACTATTCTGTGATTCTGTGATTCTGTGATCTCATCAGTAGTTAGTTCGAAAAAGGAATGTGCTAACTAGTCTGCTTCGATAGCAATACTGGCTTTGAGCAATGTTGTGTTAAATCATGCCTTATGTCTATTTTTGTCTTTTTAGTGAATGACAATAAGACTAGTACTATATGTAATGTAGGAGGAAAGTGATGAATGTGATTTTTTTAAAGTTTTTTTTATCCTTCTCTGTCAGATAGCCTTCTGTAATAACGGGGAGGAGAATCTGGCTTGAGAATGCTGTTCATGCTGTTGTTTTATTGTTTGTACTTTAGGATTGGGGTGTAGTCAGCTTTTCCTCTGCTTTTAGCATGCTGGCCTTTTCCAAGGCTCCATGCTGTGTGTATTGGAGAAATTCACGTGTCTGTTTTATCTAGACTGTTGTCTGCAGAATTAAAAACTTTTAAGTACTGTCTTCGGTTACTCAGTGTCAGTTGTGCTTGGGAAATTATGAAAGTAGTTGCAGACTATGTGGAATACAAGAGGTATTGATTATATGACTATTTATGTATTCTGGATGGTCTAAACTGAGTATATATATATATATTAAAAAAATAAAATCACATGTCTAAAGCCATGGCTGTCAACAGTTAACAGTGTTACTAACAACTTTTGGAAATGAGGTCATAATAACTTCCTTCAAAATTATTGCCATTTTGGGACTATTTCAAAGAAGCAAAGGGGATATCAATAAGAAAGAGGAAAAGGGTGAAGAGCTTAATTCTGCAGATAAGGAGCTGTAGAAGTAAAGGTGTGTATTGTTGCTTTTCAAGCCACAGCTTCATTCAGGAGTTAGTATGGAAAGCAGTAGTCCAAAGAACTCAGCCTGGATTCAGGCTTCATTGAGAAACACGTGGAGAAATGTCTGCTGCAGCAGTGTGCTTTGCATTGACCTACAGCACTGGGGAGCTGAATGAAGAAACAGTGATACTTCAGCTTTTTTGCTGCCGAAAGGGTTTAGGAAACTGTAACTGTTCCTGTGCAAACTCACTGGAAGGAAGACTTTGTATTTACTTCTTTATATGACCCATCTGTTCAACATCAGCCAAACTCTGGTTAAAACGTGTTCAAAAAATTAAAATAGTTCCTCAGGCGTTCCTGCTGGCGTCGCAACCGAAGCTCTGCTTCTAGGGGGACAGTGGCATTACAAGCAGCCTCTGCTGTCCTGTCTAAAACATAGCATGTGTGGTTTACCTTGCGATAGGTCTAATCTAAGTTAGTGCAAACCATCTCCCAAGACAAGTCCTTAAACTGCCTTATGTCCTACTAAGAGACTTAATGTTATTTTAAAATTTTCCCTGCTGATTAATCAGTAGCCATATGTTATTTATATGAGGTTTTGGCACTGTAGATGCCTGAAGTTGAATTGGCTAGGTATCTAGTTTGTCAAATTTTGGTGTAACATTCGTTGTTGCAAGGTGCTGCAACCTAGGAGCTCACTTTTAATTTCTGCAAATTGCTGCAAATACTGAGCATAAATGCTGAAGTCAAAGTGGTGTTCTTGCTATTGACTGCTTTTTCGGTCGTAACATGTGTAACTCTGCTTACATAAACAATGTATATGATACCTAAAATGCTTCTCAGCATGGGCAGTAAGATGGAGTTGTTTTGTTCAAATATCTGTTCTGACTTTGTGGCAGACTAATTCTCATAGCTACAGAAGCAGCAAAATGCCCTGTGGGTTTCTCACAGAGGACTCTAGAAGCACGTTTTGTTATTCATTCCATGTGTCGATTCAGAAATATTGTACGTAATAGCCCTTTTTATCTTATTTGAGTGCAAAGATTTTAACTGTATTTTCTTGCTGTACTGCAGAACACTGCTGTAGTCTTCTACCTTTTTAAAAAGAAAAATGCAAGCAGAAGTTGTACAACTGAAAACTGAACATACTTGTTATCCCATGGCATTGTTTCTTTCCCAGGGAGTGCTGTCCAATATCTCTTCCATCACTGACCTGGGAGGCTTTGATCCAGTTTGGCTCTTCCTAGTGGTAGGAGGAGTTATGTTCATTTTGGGATTTGCAGGATGCATTGGAGCTTTGCGAGAGAATACCTTTCTACTCAAGTTTGTAAGTAGCCTTTGCAACTGTGGTGTTCATCAGTTATATAGCATAAGTCATGTTGTCTGTTTCTGCTTAACTGTGTAAAGATTTTTAAGATGTCTTTTGGGAAGTGGAAGGTGTTATTTGATGTGCGAGTACTGAATTGCTTTTACTTAACTGTTTACAGCTCTTCAGTCTCTGGTACTTACTGTAAGGTTTTTTTAAGGTTTGAAACTAACTGATGGTAAGAATCATAACATGGAACTACTTACTTTCATATGGATATAGCCTAACAACTTGCTTTCCTGTCACGAAAAGAGAGAAACTTCTGCTAAGAATCTGCATGTTGAACTTTGAGTCCATAAGAAGCTGCCTATGAAATGTGAGGAATATAGATACACCACTGAATGTGACCCGTGTGATTTCTGCTCTGCAAGTGCCCCTCGTGGTACAGAAGAGAATAGGACTGTTACGAGAAGTGGCTTGCTGAAATCCTCAATTCTGTACTGTTTAGTTAATTTGAAAAGGCTTCATTGTTTACTGTTGTGCTGGGGCTTGAGAGTATTGTGTTCCATTTTAGATCAATTTAAGATTCTTTCCTCCACCACCTCAGCTTCCAGAGGTGAGCACAGCCTCGGTAGTAGTTGTGTCTTCATAACCATTAACTGATAATATATATGTGAAAAGGTTTCCAGTGAAACAACTGCCTTGAAATGACATATTTGGCTACTGTAGACACCTTGTATAAGGGGAGTTGAGAGTTACAGTTGTTGAAACATTTATAAAGCAGCTTGGGATAGTTCTAGTTTACTCTTGTGTTGCTTAAAAAAAAGGGGGGGGGAGCTACTGTAGCACTTTTTTTCTCCTCTTTCTCGCTTCTCTTAGCTCGCCTAAAATGAACCCATCTGCTGTACCAGAAATAGCTTCCTATACAGCAGCTGCAGGAGAAATTAAAAATTAACAAACACAGAGAGCATACTAAAATGAAACTCATAAGCACAGTTGCAAAAGGGATGGACTTCCAGTATACGAGGACCCCTTTGTCTTTTAAAACAGCGTAGACTCAGTGGAGATGGTTAGAGAAAGTGGCAGATCATTAGTAATGCCTTTGGCATCCATTGCATTTGCATTAATCACAGCAGCTTCATTTGGTTTTAATGTGGATGTGAGTCATTCCATAGACATTCTGCTCCAACTTAGTCATTAATTAATTTCTGCTGTTACCAAGTTTTGCTTTGTCTGCTTAGGCAAAGCTTTACCAATGAAGGTGTCTAAAGAGAAGTTGCTTAGAAAGCATTTCACTGGCACTGTTGGTTGTTTATGCCTTTGAAAAGGTAAGTGCCTACGTAGAAATTTAAGACAAGTTTTCAGAGGGCCCTACAGGTGGTGAGTAGCCATCTCTGTTGAAATTTACGGCGAATTCTCTTGGACCTCTTTGAAAATCCCAATGAAGTGTCCAAAGTTTGAATTTGTTGGCATTTTTATTATTTATTAGAATAGACTGAAGATTCCTGTACTAGAACCCTAATTAAAAATGGTGCAGTTTTAATTTAAAATTTCATGTGTGCTAGAATAGCTTGAACTTGCGCTGAAAAGGATAAAGCCCTAACACTGAACACAATTGTGAGCCTTGAAAATAAGGTTTTGGTTATAAAGCAACATAACTTTAACCTTTTTCTTTTTCTTTATAGTTTTCTGTGTTTCTTGGAATTATTTTCTTCTTGGAGCTCACTGCTGGTGTTCTAGCGTTTGTTTTCAAAGACTGGATAAAGGACCAGCTGTATTTCTTTATAAACAACAACATCAGAGCATACCGAGATGATATTGATTTGCAAAACCTCATAGACTTCACACAGGAATATGTAAGTTGGACTGTGTTTATTTTTTTTTTGTAAAGTTTACTTTAAAGAACTGCTCTGTTTTTTTATTTCCCATCTGTTTGGTTTCTTCAAGCAAAACAGAAATATTCTAGCATATAATACTTTTGAATATGTATGTATATTTCTCTTTACAGAACATCTACAAACACACAGCACCTGTGAAAAGTGTTCTATTTCTTGATGTATGACTGAGCAAAACAAGGTGGAGAGTTGGGATGACTTATTCTTGAAGACTTAAAGATAGTGTGTCAAATCTACAAGTTAACTATCAGTGTCCTGTGTTCAGTTTTTTTGAGCATATTCCATATGTGTATGAAGATATTTAAGGGTTCTTGAGGGGAGGGGTTTTCAAAATATTTTGTTGTAGGAGTATCACACCTGTTTAAGAAAAATAATCTTTTTTCGAAGCTTACTTGGGTTCTGAGATGAAGGTGTAGTTTTAGCAACGTTAGAGGTGCTACACCACACTGCAGGGTGGCAGAGATGTTTAGCTGGTCTGTGTGAAACTACGAAGTTACTTGTTTTTAAGCAGATAATGCAATTAGACTAACGAAGTGGGTAACTTGTAAAGTTCTCATAGGAAATCTCTAAATGATGCTACATCTGCACTTCGGAGGGAAGGGTAAAGCCAGAGATGCACACGCTTGTGCGGGTTAAGCTCTGTAATTTGTCACTGTGTGTAAAGGAGTCTTGCACTGACTTTTGCCCAAAGTTATTTCGCCAGTACCTTCTTGTTCCAGTACTCAGTTCTTGCCTGTGTTGATGAACTCCTCTTTGAATTTGGTACGGTGTAACTAATGTGATTAAGTGTTGGTTGAAATCATGTTCTACTAATTTTTCTGCATTCTGCAAGTAAAATAATTTCATTCAGTGTTTGATTTGTGTCTATATGCCTTGGGGGGTAAAAATGGCAAGTGGGTAAGTAACAGGATGTGGATCGTTGCACTGGTTTGAATCTTGTCCAGATGGGAGAAGGTCAGAGGTGATCACAGTCTGAAATCAGTGGTCCACTTGTATGCAACCAAAAGGCTACAGTCCAATTTTGCAGGCGCTACATAAAATTTACTCTCCTAACTGGATTAGCAATTTTAGCAGATAAATCAGGGGCAGCATGAGTCTGGAGAGCAAGCTACTTTTGATCTAGTAGAGATAATACTTGAAGACAACATGTTCAGGTGTTTTGGAGGGAACTGTGCTACATCTAGGAAGAGAGAATTGCCATTCCAATGCTTTTAAAAATGTGGCTTGTTTGGGTGTGTTTTGTTTTTTTTTTAAGTTGACATAGATGGGTTCATTGGGCTAACTGCTTAAATACTGTAAACCATCAGTGCTCCACTGATCTCCAGTCCATTCTTTGTACGTTCAGCAAGGTTTACCAATTCTTTGTGTGTTCAGCATGTTTTTCTAGAGAGTAAGCCTGCCATTTGGCACATTTATTTTTTGAAGGATTCTGCGTGCCTTCAGTAAAGATGTTATTTGTGCAATGTGTGATGCTCAGGAAACAATGTGTTCATGCTGTCTGATGTACAGCCAGGCAAGGATTCCCCCAAGCTGGCAAAAGGAGTCACTATACCAGTGTAGCCCTTGGAGCTGATTAGTTTTGTTGAGAACACTGACCACATTAAACTGGACAGAATATGATACTCTTAGCTCTACTATCCCTGGGGCCTGAGCCTGTAGGCCTGTGCAGCTCTGGTGGTGTGTAGGCTTATCAGCTCCATGGGTTTCTCTCCAGAGAGCAGTGTTGCAGGGTGTGAACATAACTTTAATCACATGATAATTTTAGAACAACTTGCAGGTTTGGAATGGTCTTTTTTAAAAAAACAAAACCATGCCAGCTTCAATGAAACCGGAGGGAATCTCAGATTTTGTTTTGAAAGCTAGAGAGAAACTGGCAGCGATGATGCGTGTTACTAATTCTGAGACTTGTTTGTTCTGAAAATCAAGCAGCTCTCCTTTCTTTGTTCTAGTGGCAGTGCTGTGGGGCTTTTGGAGCTGATGACTGGAACCTGAATATTTACTTCAATTGCACAGATTCCAACGCAAGTCGAGAGCGCTGTGGTGTGCCATTCTCTTGCTGCACTAAAGACCCTGCCGTAAGTGACAGTCAAGAGGGTAGGATGGGTCTGCTGTTCCAATTTTTAATCACTCTATAACCTTTTTCCGTGAGAGTCCCCCCCCCCCCCCGAAGTTATGCATGATCACTACCTTCTCACCAACCTTTTTTTGTACTTCAGCTCAGCTTAACAACCAACTTTTCGGCAGTCAGGAAAAAACCTGAGCTAACTTAAGTCTTCGTTGTATGCTGTTTGCCGTTTTTCATTAGAATGCGAGTACCATGGGCTTGGCTGAACGTACATATTAATTTTAGCAACTAGAAAACCAGAAGCCTGTAATGAGTTGAAGAATATGACCTTTCAGTTGAATATTATTCAGATATTTCATTCGCTGCCTTAAAGAACAGCAACTTTTAAGATCAGGCACTCCAAAGCAGATATTACTCATCATTTGATGGAGTGTCCAGAGGCTGCAGCCAGCTTGCCCCAGTTTGTGCTAGGTATGGTAATGAATGACAGTCTGTGCCCTGAAGAACTGACATATGTTTGCATCAGAGTCTTAGTTGGGTATGGACATTTATACACTCCCCCCCCGCCCTTTTAAAATTACTGCTTATCCTACAGTCACCTGAGATCAGACTTGAAAGGCCAGAAATTGTTTGAGGGGACAGCTACTTGGTAAATTTTCTTGTATTTTCAAATAGTTATAGTTCTGGATCATCAAGCAGCAAATGTTGGAGCCATGCGTTACTAGTACGGACATGATCAAGATAGGGAAGCCTGTCACTGACAGTGAAAGGCTTGGAAAAGGGATGCGTATGTGCAGGGAAACTGTTATGCAGCGAAGTGCATATATGTGACTTTCATATAGCTTAAAAAAAGCAGCCTATGAGTGCTTGTATTATCTAGTAGTTCAGCTGTGGCTTTTTCTCCACCTGGAGTGACTTACAGTTCCTTGAATGTAGGAGTCTGTAGCACTGACTAAAGTTAGGCAAGTTGCCAACAGGCACCTCAGGTGCTTCCTGCCTTGCTAATCCTGGCATCCAGTCGCTACTGCTGCACTCCCACTCTCCTGATAAGGTACTGCCACTTGCACAAGCTGTGTTCTGGTTCCTCTGCAGTGAACATGTCTTCACAGCAGTTTGGATCTTTCTCACAAACATCACTGAAAATGTTTTAATGAAATATTAAAACAAAATGGCAAGTAGGTTAGACTCCAGTGTTACATTATGCTTAGGATTCCCCCTGCTGTTTGCCTATCTGCCCACCCACTCACACAGAGAGGTCATCACAACCCAGTTTTAAAAATACAGTAGTTATAAAACCAGTCCAGTGACAGCAGTACAAGGTAATTCTATAAATGCATAATGCATGCTAAAGTTATTGCTCTCTTTGTATGTATATGCTTATGCAGTTTCTTAGGGGATGATGCAGCAACCAGAAATTTAAAGATAAGTCTCATTCTCATTCATTGCAGGGAAGCAACACACTTAATTGCCTTTAAAATAAAGACTAAAAAATATTAGTGTCATGCATATAATGGATATAAATGTAACCAAGCTGTGACTGGCTCAATCGCAGTGATAAACACAGGTTTATTCTCTGGGAAAGCAAATTTGTTCCTTTTGGAATTAGGGTGCAGTGTTGGACTGATGCAAAAAGTTATGTGGATGCTTTATTGAACAGGACTTGCTTTTAGTTTAGCTTGAATCGGGAAGTGGTAAGTTTAAGGTAGGCCAAAATAAGTCTCTTCTTAAAATGAATTTGGACTACTATAGTTCGCTTTGCTGTAGTTTAGTAGGTTGAAATGTTCCAAATTCCTGTACAAGAAGAACCTAGAGAAGTTGGTTTATTTCCATTTCATTCTTCACGCTTTCTTTCGGTTAACAAATTTCAAGGCTGAAGACAAAAAAGACAGATATAAAGCAAGTAAGCATTCAGCACAAAGACGAAAGCTTAAAATCCCTCTATTGGAATCTTATCTACTTTTAGAGCCTTGAAGTGCATGGTGCTGTTATATTTTAGATCCTGGGACAGAAGCATTCATATCATTAAAAGGTACAAATTGCTCAAATCTTAAAGGTCCATTAAGGGAATCCAGCTTGAGCAACTGACAGGATGCAACCTGGTGATGTACTTACTGCAAAGTGAGGAAACACTTAGAGGATCTTTAACTGCTGGTCAGAGGAAAAATCTTTTTCTGTATGGCTGCTATTTAAAATCTATTTCTCTGCTGGCTGCCTGTCTCACTTCCCACAATTTGATTAAATTGTGGTGTTCAGTACACCTAGCTGAAATTGGCTGATTTTTCTCACTTCCTTGAGTCGTTCCTTCTGCTTACTGTTGTTATATGAGCCAGTAACAATATTTTGCTGCCATTGTGGCTGACACCAAAAGCAGTTGCTTCATTTTACTGCCCTGAAATAACTGTATAAAAAGTAAACGCAGCTTCCGATGGGTAGCACTTCTTCGCTAGGAAGAGTCTGCCATAGCCAATTTTATTACCTGTGCTTTGGGGGTACTAAATCTGAGGCAGTAAGAAAAAAAAAAAACCCTCCTTTCTCATTGGTGTCAGGCTCCTGTAAGAAAGAATAAGCAGTAAGAACACATCACCCCATCTCGTCTTTTTCCTCCTAGTTCTTGGACAGAAACTGGGTACTATGTATATTTCTGCAGACATCCTTGGTAAGAACTTGCAGCTTCTGCAACAGAACTGTCCCCTCTCACCTCTCCAAGCTGCACAGACTGAACCCTGAAAATGTTAACAGTAGTCTTAGCATCTTTTTCATTATAGACTAAACCTTTTCAGCAGAAGGTTCGTTCACTTAAAATAGATGTTCCCTAATCCATTTACTTTGACTTCTGAATGCCTGCATCTGGAACACAGAGTTCAGCCAGGTGGAGGGTCAGTTTTCCCAGCTTGCTGCTCTAAGAGCTGAAAATATGTTTTTAATGTGTGCTCTTGTTTGTTGTAAATAATTAATGGCACTGAATGGAAGAGGAAGGGGTTTTGTAAAAAGCAATACGGTAACCAAAGTTAGGGTGATTGTCTTATTACATACAGGACCAACTCTGGGGAGCTGGGAGAGGGTGTTTGGAAGAGACTTCACTGATTGCCTCTTCTGTGTGTCTCTCTCCTAGGAAGATGTTATTAATACTCAGTGTGGCTACGATGCAAGGCAAAAACCAGTAAGCATTTTTTTCTTTTTTCAACGTGGTGTTTTAAGGATCTTAATCCCTCTTGCAAGAGCAAGTTATTCTACTTCTGGGATAGTTGAATGTAATTATCTCTGTTTTCTTCCCTCTTCTCCTTGGCAGGAAGTTGATCAGCAGATCGTTATATACACTAAAGGCTGTGTCCCTCAGTTTGAGAAATGGTTGCAGGACAATCTTACCATAGTTGCTGGTATATTCATTGGGATAGCATTACTGCAGGTAACCATCACATTCTCTGTAATGAGTTACACAGAACGACAGATGAATAGAATATATGAGGGGGAAACTGTATGAGAGAACTGGAAATAGTGTCTGTGCACTTAAAAATACAATGTCTGTAGGTTTTAGTGAGGGGAGCTAAATGCATGAGGCTTTCTTTGAGTGTTTAATTTTTATCTGTAGGGATGCATCTTTTCAACTGTCTGCAGGTCAAAACTAACACTCTGTGTTAAATGAACATTAGGTAGAGATTTTTAAGCCAGTACAGACCTACTGCTTCTGATGATGCTTAAACGAGCAGTGAAAAGCCTTTACAGTTGATTTTGTGAAGCGAGTCTAGAACTGTTCAATTTCCTGGAACTCAGTGGCACTATAAAAATACTGGTGTTACAGAAGTTTTTGGATATTCTTCTTTCTTACAACACTTCATGTGATTTCTAACTTTCTGTTGCTTGTTTTCATATCAAAGTTCTGTATAACTGAAGGAGTTTGTCTGTATGAAAAGAGTTGTCTGATACTCCAAAGGAATAAACTGTTGTGTCTTCCAGATATTTGGGATATGCTTAGCCCAGAATTTGGTTAGTGACATTGAGGCTGTCAGAGCCAGCTGGTAAAACTGCTGAAGTAACCACAACAAGACACTGGACAACCGAAATCCTCTGAAACCTGCAGTGTGTCGCTCCGACACCAAGCTGTATGGACATGGGTGACAGGGAAGCCTTCTCTCCCAAGTAGTCTCAAGTCCCAAGTTCCTGATACTGCAGTGAACTCGTGTTTCTTTGGGGTGGGGGAGAGAAGAGTGGGCTATTTAAAATCTGCTGCTCACAAACAATTTTTTTGTTTTAAACCACCAGTTTGAAAGCTGTTGAGCCGTGAATCTCTACTGTATTCTTGATCTTGAGTAATGAGTGGACACTTTTTTAAATTGGTGTATTCAGTGGGACAGAGTTGCATCGTTGTAGTCTGTGGATATGCTGTTCGTGTCATGAGCTCTTCGATAGCTGCCAAATATTCCTGAGATGGTCTCTCTCCTCACCACTCTGTAAAGGAACACTCTTGTTTCCACAGCTAAACATAGCTGCAGGCCAAAACTCATCAAGCAGGAAGCAACTTTCTATGCATCTATTGTACAGTAAAAGAAATTGTTTTTAAAACAAGGGAAATTTTTTTTTTATGGAAGCTTCCAGCCATCTCCCTGTAGTACTTTGATGTTGGAATCAGCAGACTCACAGGGAGAATTGCCTAATTTTATCAACATCTTTCTTCCTTTCTCCACCCTTGTATGAAGGGAAAGGAGTTTTATATTGGACAAGCAAGGGTTGTAGAGCCTTTGGTTGCTGCCATACCTTAGGACATCAGTCCTAAGGCAAGGATGGGATATAACTGTATAAATGTATGAAAGCAGTGTGGATGTTGGGTCCAAGTGAATAATACTATTCAAAGAATGAATTATATATTAACTTAAAAATCAAAACATATGTATCTGATATGGCTAAATCTTTTGTTTCTCTGGAATTTTGTGTAACCTAATGTATTTAGGGATCTCACTAATTTTAGTGCTTTGATATACTTGTGCAAAACTTCTTTTAAGATAATTCCTTGGTCTGTTCCTAGCTGAGGCTTTGGTCTTTTTTTTTCCTTTGTTCTTGAATTGTTATTACTTGCATGAGCTGTGGAGTAAGAATCTGTGACACTCCAGTGCTTTAAATCTGTGTGTATGTTTTAATACCGTCTAATCCAAACTTATTTATTGGTAAGTGCATGTGATTATGGAAAGATCATATCCCATTCCCTTGGAAGTTGGAGAGAACAGCTTTTGCCAGAGTAAATGCTTACTTCCAGTGAACAAATCCTTGCTATGGAGATGTCTCCCTGGTTGCACTAAATGCAGCAAAAAGCATTCCTGAAGCAGTGGAATAAAAGTTTTAAAATAGAAGCGCATATTGGCATCAGCCAAGACAGACTCTTTGGAATTGGACAAAAGAGAGTAGAATCTGGAATAAAGCACAAATAGTGGAAGAAGAGTTACATCAGACTCCACCCAGCTTAGAGTTTTTGATTATTTTTTTTTTTTGTTCTTCACTGATAATAGTGAACGTACAAACCTCACCATGGCTTGGGTAGTTTTATTGCACTTTGTATAACTTTAGCTTGTTGTGTGACCCTTCTCAGTATCTGCAGAACCAGTCCTGAAAGCTGTGAGCTCTCGGCTCCTGCTTTGGTCAGACAGTGGCAAAGGGTGTGTAGCACCTCTTTGTAAGAGCTTAGCATCTTTCTGAGATGAGTTTCCTGAAATGAAGTATGTGGAGTAGAGGAGATGAATGCATTGCTTTCAAAGCTTCCCTGTTCTGGGGGACAGATAAAAGGCTGGCCTGATGACCTGTTGAGGTCCTTTCTGGTCCTGTGACTCTTAAACATGTAAGTGTATGTACCCTTGCACAATTTGCCTTTCTGTGCTTTAGTTGGCCGTGGTTTTTTTCCCCTCTGAAGGCTGGTGGTAGGCACACTGGCGCTCCACAGATGCCGCAGACAGTCCTGTTGTCCTCCTGTCTTTGAGCGTTACCTCATCCTCCTCTAGTTAACTCGCACTGACTGGCTGTGAATCAGGCAGCCTCCATATCCTTTGGTATCTGCTGCTAAAGGCCAGCCATGACTCAGAGTAGTTTTTTTTTTTTAAAGACTTTGAAAGCAATTATAATTCACTGTCCTTAATAAAGTTGGTTCCACCTCACCACAGTGTTATGTTTTTCTTAGCCGCTTCTCAACTTGAGGAGTTACTAGTGTTTGTTTCCTCCCCAAAGGGATGCACCATTTTGCCTGATAGCAGCAGGACAGACGGATCATCAGCACTAGTGTTGCCATACTGAGACAAAACGATGCATGGAGAAATCGGGGAAGTGTGGTTTAGGAAGTAACCCCTCCACCCATGAGCCTTGGTTGTGAACCAGCATTTTGGTTTGGAGGAAAAGAAAGACGACTGCATTACAGAAACATTCCTTGTTGCCACTGATCTTGAATACTGCTGTTGCTGCTGTGGGCTTCTGAAGACAACTTCATTCTTCTGCTTGAATTTCTGCCATCGTATTGTATTGGCCTTCTGTCTTGTCACGCTGTTCTCTGAGTTCAGTCTGCTGGACGTGCTGCTGGCAGTGTCAGACTGATAGGAAGGTAGACGCTCTGAGGTGAGCAAATCTTGTTCTCACTACTTGCACGTATACACACAAATGTGCAATGCTTCTGCTGAGTCCCAGAATGACTGACTGTTCTTATAAAAACCACTAGATAACTTATTTTTCTAGAGTTTGTCGTTATTGCTGCAGATGTTGATCCTTCCCTCTTCACCGCTTCCGAGAGGTGCTCGTATTTTCCTGATTTTTGCAGGTGTTTGATAGATGCATACTGAAAATTCAGGATTAGCTATCTATATTGGACATTGAAACCCTGCATTTTTTGTCTGCAGATTGGGTAAGATGTCCTAGAAATGCCCCATCAGCAGCTACTCAGCAGCTTAGGTGGCCAGCTTGAAAAGCTTGTGGAAGTCAATCTGTTATTTTCAGAGCCTGCCAAATGCAAGCAAGCTTTCTTTCAGAAAACTCTGTGAAAACTTCAGGGGAGCTGCAACTGGAGCACAACTGCTGGCTACACGGGCTCATTTTCTAAAGCAATAAGATACGGTAGGCAGTATGACTTCTTGGCAATTTCTAGCCTGCCTGGTGCGGTGGTGGGGTAGACGTGAGTTCAGAGGTCAGTCTGAGTATCTTTAGTGTGTAGCAGTTGTTCAGAAATTTGTTGTCAAGCTTATAGCCCGTGTGGAGTGTGAAGCAGCTCTGTTTGCTGGGTGATTTGTATGGGATGGTGGTGTTGCTAACGAGATCTGGTAGCTTCAGCAGTCGCCCTGGCTTAAAGCCATTTCTGCATTCCCCACTGAGCCCTGCCAAAGGGCATTAAGGTCCTTGCTCCTCTGCTTCTAAATGTCCTCCATATTCACAGGCCTTTCTGTTGTTTGATCGCTCTCTCTTTTTAATTAATAGCCTAATGGACAAATGTTTTATTTGTCTCTGTGTGTGTCTGTTTCAGTAGCAGTAGGATCTCTTTGCTTCAAAATCCTTAATTTTGATTGTGCCCCTTAGAGTTTGAAGCTGTGGAGATGCTTGCTCAAGCGTACCCTGTCCTGAAAGCCATCTTCTCTCCCCTTGCAGAGAGATGCTAATTGTGGCTCTGGTGTGTAAATAGTGTTTGAAATGTAAATAGTAGCATGCAGATGAAATGATTCTTGCACATGACTGCTTTTCACCCCAGAAGTGTTTGTGACAGACATGGAAGGTGCCCACCGTGCGAGTTTGCCGATGGCCGTGGGGTGCCCGCTCAGTGAGGCCTGGCCGGGGGGCCGGGAGCGCTGTGTCTGGCATGGGCCAGCACGGGGGGCACGGCACGGCCGGGGGGACCGCCCTTGCCTTTCCCTTTTGCTGTTTGGTGGTAGAACAGCATTAAGCTGCAAAATGGAGGGCTGGAGTCAGCACCCCCGACCGGTCATGGGAGGTGGCCGTCACTTGCGGCAGGACTAAACATGGTGCTATAAGAACTGTATGGACGTTAACCTGTGTTTTTACTACTTTAGAGATGCCCTTGGTAAAATTGATTCTGATTGACAATGTTGGTTATAATAGACACTCATGTGTGAATTTTTTATTCCGTTTCCCTTCTTGCTGTGTGTGCATTTTGGGTGCGTTGAAATGGCAGTGCTGCAAAGACCTAGGAAGGAGATTGGATCTTGACAGATGTTAAGCGCTGTTGAATGTTCCAGTTCCTCCCTCCCATTTTTGTTTTCTCTGAAGCTTTTTCAGATATCTGTAATTGGTCATGAAACTGTTTAAAGCAAACAAAAGAAAACTACCCTGTTGGATCCATTAGTTACCAGATTTTGCCACTTGAAGAAAAGGGTGTGGGTGTGTGTGTGTGTGTGTGTGTGGGGGGGGAATTGGTCTCCCCTAACACACAGTATAAAAAGAAGTGCTGTGACTACTAGCGTGCACCAGGCAGCACTGCTAGCTGTCTTTTGTGTTTCGGCAATATAAATGTGTTAATAAAAATCTTCATCCGTATGTGTGTTCATGTTCACACTGTGTATGTGAGAGAGATGGACATGATACTACCTTGAGCTCTCTCAGTCTCTGGGGAGATTGGGATTTGGGTTTTGTGACTCAGACCCCTCTCTGATACCTATATTCCAGATTAGTTTCAACTGAATCTCTCTCTGGATCATCCTGGGGTGTATGGCAAGGCGTCGATATTTACCCTCTGTGTATCATTCCTTTTTACACGAATGTATTCTCTTGTGTTCCTTTTTTATCAGTTGTAAAATTGATTGTAAAAGCCAACTACACTTACTGATTGAAAGTATTGCTATAACAGAACTGCATGCACAGTAGAGTTTGACTTGAGCTTTAGTTTTCTGATTTTGGACTGGTTACCTTCAGTCTAGGAGAAGAGCATAGATCAGGTGCATAATGTATTACTTGTCATCTTTAGCATTAGACTGTGGTATTGTATCACATGCTGATCTCAATGGATGTAACTGGAGTCTAGGAAGTTAATGCAACTTCCTGGTAATTCATTTTAAGCTATTGAAAGTGGTCTTGATCATGCTACTTGTGTTCTTGGATTTTTGTTTTTTAATAGAGGCATTTTTTAGGAATGTTTTAATACACTTATGATGGACAATACAATAGTTTTAATAGTTGTGCAGTATTCTGTATTTACTTGAAGTAAATCATTTTATATGCAATTTGTTAGATAATTACAATTTTATAAATAAAATTGCGTGAAATACAATGTTGTG